GGGGGGGCTTGGCAATGGGGTACTCTTGGGAATGGGGAGGGTTGGAATTGGTGGGGGCTGCTTAGCACTGGGAAGGACTTGGCTCTGGGTGGGGCTTGGTAATTGGAGGGACCAAGCAAGGGGGCCCTTGTCTGAGAGGAGGTCAGAAAAAGGGCTCCCTTGGCACTGGGAGGGCTCTGGCAATGAGGGACCCTTGGGAATGGTTGGGCTCCTTGGCACTAGGGGGCACTGAGGGGACCCTTGGCAACTGGGGGGGCTGAGCAGGGGGCACTTGTCTGAGGTCAGAAGGGGTTCTCTTGGCATTGGGGGGGTCCTTTGGCAATGGGGGTCCCTTGGCTCTGGGGGGCACAGAGGAGGAGAGCCCTTGGATCTGGAGGCAGCAGGCCTGGGGCAGGGGCTGACTTTGGGGGGACTTTTCAGTGTGGGGTACCCCCCTGGGCTGCTGGAGACCCCTGTGTGGGCTCCTTGCTTTGGGACACAGGGGCAGTGCATCCATGCTGGAAAGGGATTTGGGAACAAGGTGTTGGGAGGAGGAGAAGGAGCAGCTCCAACTTTTCTTGTCCCTCTGGAGCTTCCCTCATCCTCTGCAGCTGCTGATGGCTGATCCTTTCACTTCCCAGCTGGAATGTCTTCTCCTGGCTGACATTCCTTGTGGGATGAAAGGCATAACCCATGACAGGGCCCTGTGATACGACCTTTGCTCAGCCCTTCGATCTGCTGCTGTCAATGGAAAATCTTGGGAAAACGGAGGAAATAGGAATGCAGGTGAAGCCTGAGCAGGTTCATCTCCTTGTGGTGGATTTCTGGGCTTGATCCTTCTGCCATGATCTTGGCAGAATGGGTTTGCTGTCCTGGGGTGAGGGAGCAGGGTGTTTGCTCTCAATCCTTCATCCCATCCCATGTGCGTCCTTGCTGTGTCCAGCAGCTCCAGGAGTGAGCACAGTGCTGCTACCTCAGCTATAACATTGCTCATGACCCTGTGCTTAGGGGAACTGAGGTGATTCCATGATTTATGCTGTTTGGTCCTGAAACCTTTTCAATTCCAAGCAAGAACTGATTTTGCCTCAACCCTGGCAGTGTCCAAATCCAGATTGGATAAAGCCTGGAACAACCTGTTCTGGTGGGAGGTGTCCCTGCCCAGGGCAGGGAATTGGGGCTGGGTGATCTCTGAGCTCCATTCCAACCCCTAAAATTCTCTGATTCTCTGAAGAAACATAATTTGCAAGTAGAATCACAGAATCATTTAGGTTGGAAAAGTGACATCATCGCTGTGTCCAGCAGCTCCAGGAGTGAGCACAGTGCTGCTACCTCAGCTATAACATTGCTCATGACCCTGTGCTTAGGGGAACTGAGGTGATTCCATGATTTATGCTGTTTGGTCCTGAAACCTTTTCAATTCCAAGCAAGAACTGATTTTGCCTCAACCCTGGCAGTGTCCAAATCCAGATTGGATAAAGCCTGGAACAACCTGTTCTGGTGGGAGGTGTCCCTGCCCAGGGCAGGGAATTGGGGCTGGGTGATCTCTGAGCTCCATTCCAACCCCTAAAATTCTCTGATTCTCTGAAGAAACATAATTTGCAAGTAGAATCACAGAATCATTTAGGTTGGAAAAGCTCCTTGACATCATCAAGTCCAACCATTCCCCCCAGCACTGCCAAGGTCAGCACTAAACACGTCCCCAAGCACCACAGGAATATCTTGTGATACTTTTCTTGTGGTGTTTCTGGCTCATTTGCTGTGTTTTGAGGAAAAAGGGGTGTTGAAATCAGCCTCCCTAGGGAGCTCAGCAGTTGCTTTTGGTGCCACTGTGTTTGCTGACGTGGCTGAAAAGGAGGAAGCAGCAGAATCATTTGAGTTACAAAAGAGCTCCAAGATCATCAAATCCAACCATTAACCCCAAGAATGGAGAAACTGTTCCTTGGATCCTGCTGTATGTGATCAGTTGATCACTTTCATGGCTGCTATAAACCTCTTGGAGGATTTCCTCCTCGGTAGCACCTAAAGCAAAAGTGAAACTGCACATTGTCATGTCAGGAAGAAACTCATCCTGTCCAGTATTGTTTGGGGTTTTTTTGTGTGCTGGCTGTGGAAGAGAGGAGCAGGTGCCTCTTTCAAGTAAGGCTGGGTTAAAACAACTCTTCAGATGGTTTTGTGCTGCTGCTTAACTGCATGTGGGTTGTGTTTCCTCCTTCATGGAGGAGGATCCCAGCTCAGAGCTGTGTGTGAGAGGCTCAGGGTTGTGTGTTTGAACGATGGCTTTGAGCTTCCCAGGGTAAATCCCTCTTTCCCAGGGGGTTCAGCCTCCACTGGTGCCCTCAGAGATCCTGAGGATGCTTTGCATTGTTTGCAGTGTTGGAGCTGCTTTCTCCATGTTGTGGTGGTGTAGGAAAGGCTGGAAAACTTGGAAGGAGTTCTGTGGGTTTTTTGTTGTCCTCTTGTTCCAAAGCCTCATGTAATGCAGGAGGAATGACCTAGGGTGAAATCAGTGACTGCAGGTAGAATCATGGAATCACAGACTGGTTTGGGTTGGAAGGACCTTAAAGATCATCCAGTCCCACCCCCTGCCATGGGCAGGGACACCTCTCACCAGCCCAGGTTGCTCCAAGCCCCATCCAACCTGGCCTGGAACACTCCCAGGGATGGAGCAGCTACAGCTGCTCCGGACAACCTGTGCCAGTGCCTCAGCACCCTCCCAGCCAGGAATTCCTTTCCAATATCCCATCTAAACCTCCTCTCTGTCAGTTTAGAGCCATTCCCCCTTATCATATCTCTCCATGCCTTTGCAGCTTGCCCTGAGGATCATCAGCTCATGCCTGATCCATCCAGAGAAACTCACAACTAAAACCCTGTGCCTATCCTCTAAAAACTGTGAAAAACTGTGTTTATCCCTGTTTTGAACCCATGGTTTGTTGTTTCCTAACAGTTTGATTGAAGATCTTTTCTTTTTGCCTGTCCCAAGCCATGAAGCAATCCAAAAGGAAACACCTCACAGCAGCTGAGTGCGAAGCTCTCGCCCAGAGTCCAGAAGGTTCCTCCTCCCTCACACAGCCCTTGAGTCAGACACAGAGCAGAGATGGAAACAGAGGTCTCCACCCCACCCACAGGACACGGAGACATCCTGGAGGTAACATCGGTTGGGAATACTCTGGGGGATTTGTGGGGGAAAGGCTGATCAATTCTGGTCAGAGAGTTGTGGTCAATGGAGCTAAATCCAGCTGGGGACAGTCACTGGTACTGTTCCCCAGGGCTCAGGGTTGGGGCAGGTGCTGCTTAACATCTTTACTGATGATCTGGACATGGGGGTTAAGTGCACCTGAGTGAAATTACAAAGGACACTGAGCTGGGTGTGAGTGTGGATCTGCCTGAGGGTAGGAAAGCTCCACAGAGAGACCTGGGCAGACTCATCCATGGGCTGAGGACAACTGCAGGAGGGTCACTAAGGCTCAGTGCTGGTCCTGCCCTTGGGACACAACAGCCCATGCAGCTCCAGGCTGGGGCAGGAGTGGCTGGAGAGGTGTTGGTCCCAAAGGACTTGGCAGTGCTGGTGGCACAGCTGAGTGGGAGCCAACAGTGTGCACAGGTGGCCAAGGAGGCCAAGGGCACCTCAGCCTGGCTCAGCAGAGTGTGGCAGCAGGACTAGGGCAGTGCTCAAAGGCCATTGAGGCACTGAGCGAGTCCAGCCAAGGGCAGCAAAGGGCTGGAGCACATGGGCAAGGGCTGAGGGAGTTGGGTTTGGTTAGCCTGGAGAAGAGGCTCAGGGGTGACCTCCTGGCTCTCTGCAACTCCTTTGGGGGATGTCTGTCCTGCCATGGCTGCAAGAAATGGCTGTTTATCCTCTTAAGGGCATTGATCTCCCTTAAACTGTGGCAGGAGCTGCCTGCCTAGGGGCTTAGGACATGACCTACTCGTGGTAGTTAAGCCCTGAAGCTTCCACAGGTGTAGCCAGAGAAGCAATATGAAGGAAGACAGTTCACCTGTCGTGAGCTGTGAGGAAGCCTATGGAAGTGACTACAACCTTACACAACCTCTGGTCCCCTCGTTGGCTCAGGGAGGAGCAGGGCATGGCCTTGTTTGCATTGACTTCACTCTTGCTCTTCCTCTTTGTGCAGGCCAAGGCCAGCAGAAGATCACTAATTACTTCAAGATCTCTCAGACACAACAAGTAGGTGCTGGTGAGTTGAAGAGCTGTAAAATCAAGGAAGAGGCATTGGATCCCTTCTTCTCTGGAGCTGATGACTCCTTCAGCAGTGTGACAGACATCAGCAGTGACTCCTCTGTTGTTCTGGACGATGAGGACTTCGTATCAGTTTCCAGGAGAAGCTCCAGGAAACGACCTGTGCCCACTGCAGCCTCAGAAATTCCCAATCCAGAGCTTGATTTGTGGGGAGAGCCTGAGAAGAAGCTACTGGTGGTTCCTCCAGAGCTCAGCCAGGTCAAGCAGGAACCTGCTGAGATGGACATTGAGCCACTCCCAGACGCACACTATGGACTCCTGGGCACTCATGACTGGGAAGTGCCTCAGGGAAACATTGATGATCTTCCTGTGGAAGTCCTTAGGAACATTTTTGCCTTCCTGCCAGTGACTGATCTGTATCAGAACCTGAGCCTGGTGTGTCACTGCTGGAGGGAGATAATCCGTGATCCACTGGTAAGGAATGCTGAGATGTTGATTGGAGCTTGTCCCTTCTCCTGCTCTGTTCCAGTTTGGTCTTGTGGTTGCTTGTGTTGCTGAAGGAGTATCCATGGTCTGCCTGTCTCTTTGCTCATTTAAATCCCTTTATTTCTCCCACAATCTCTTTTTGTTAGGTCATTTTTTTGATCCTTTGGACCATGGTGGCACCTTCACCTGCCAACCTGGATCCAAAGATCAATACTGGGGCAATGTGCCACAGCCTCCCTGGGCAACCTGTGCCAGTGTCCCATCACCCTCACAGCAAAAACTTCTGCCAGATATCTCAATTTCCCTCTTTCAATTTCTCCCCATTGCTTCTTGTCCTGTCCCTGCAGCTCCTACTCAAGTGTCTCTCTGCAGCTTCCCTGGAGTCCCTTCAGCTCCTGGCAGGTTGCTCTGAGCTCTCCACACACCCTTTTTTCTCCAGGCTGAGCAGCCCCAACTCTCTCAGCCTGTCCTCGTAGGGAAGGTGCTCCAGTCTCTGCTCAGCTCCGTGGCCTCCTCTGGCCTTGCCCCAACAGTTCCATGTCCTTGTGCTGTTGGGGACACCAGAGCTGTGTGCAACACTTCAGGTGGGGCCTCACAGAGCAGAGGGAGAGAGTCATCTCCTTGGCTGTGCTGCCACACTCCTTTTCTCTGTTTCCTCTTTCCTTCTCCATCTCCTGCTAGGTACATCCAGCTGCTTTTTCAACTCCAAGCCTTTGGAATCACCTTCATTAGCTTATTGCCACGAGAAACCTATTTTGCAATGCTGTGAGGTGAAAGCTAGTGGTATGTGCTTCACATTCCAGTTCATCCCTTGGAAGAAGCTGTACCATCAGTACCTGATGAAGGAGCCCATGGCCCTGCACAGGGTTGAGCAGATCTTGCAGGATTTTGCCATAAGAAAGGAGCAGGAGGGATGTGTCTTGGGGCTGATTAGGTGAGTTCACTTCAGCTCTTGACTTTGTAGATCCTCAGACCTTCCTTGCTCTGGGTCTTCTTCTGTTTCATCCTGTGATTTGCCAGGAGAGAGATGGGTTTGTCTTTTAAACAGGTGGGAGATGTACAGGGAAATGAGAAAGGAGGAATTAGGGTTTAAGGAATAGGTAATGAACTTGCCCTTTCCTTTTCCTTACTCTGTTTGGAGCATGTGATTACAGAATCATGGAGTCATTTAGGTTGGAAGAGACCTGTAAGACTGAGTCCCACCCTTCCCCAGCACTGCCAAGGCCACCATCAAACATGTCCCCAAGTGCCACATCCACGTGGCTGTTAAATCCCTCCAGGGATGGTGACTCCACCACTGCCCTGGGCAGCACATTCCAATGCCTGACAGCCCTTTCCACGAGGTAATTCCTGATGTCCAGCCTGAACCTCCCCTGCTGCTCCAGCCCCTTCCCAGCTCCTTTCATCCCTGGACACCTCATGCCTTTCAGTCTCTCTTGTCCTGAGGCCCCAGAGCTGCCCCAGGACTGGAAGTGATAGATAAGATGAAGGTAGAAAGGGGATCCAATTAGTCTTCCCCTAATGAAGGGCTGCATAGAGCATCATTCTATGATTCTGTCTCCAAGGTGTTTTCTCTTTTTCCTTTCCTAAAGAGAAGCTTTCCTGGACTTGCACTGACTAACCAGTCACAGCTCAGCAAGTTCAAGACAAGTCCTTGCAAAAACCAAGTGCTGTGTTCAGATCTCTCTAGTCCAGAGGCAATTTTGGATCAAACTGGATTAGGAGTAAGGTGGATGTGCCTTCTGGAATCTCAGAGTCACTGAATGGTTTGGTTTGAAGGCACCTTAAAGACCATCTAGTTCCAACCCTCTGCCATGGGCACCTTCCACTAGAAGGAGACTTGGAGTCAGCCAAAAGACTAAGGGATTGATGCAGGAAAATCTTCCAGCACCTGTTTTTGTGCCAGAACTGGGAATTACTTGCCTAAAAAAGGCTCTTGGCACAAGAATGAGTTGGAAACCAAAGTCAAATTTGAGGGACACACAGCAAGGCCTAGTTCAGTTTGCTGCAGCCTCACTGCTGGTGCTTTGGACAGGACATGGAGAGTAAAATTCACTTGCTAAACCTTCTTGGTCTCTGCCGTTTGCACAGGTGTGTGTCAGCCATGCCCACGGGGAGGAAGGTGGATCCCAGCGCCGTTCTCCAGTGTTTGGAAAGGCATCACCTCCTCTCCAGGGCTCAAGTCTGTGTTGGCAACACTCTGCCACACCTGGAGAGCAAGACAGGGGTAGGTTGCACAGCCCTTAGTGGTTTATGTCACAGGTGTAACAAGTCTTGGTGCTTTGAGGTCATACCTGCCCTTCTGTGCCTAAAGGGTCTCCAGGTCATAGAGTATTTAGGGTGGAAAAGACCTCCAAGGTCATCAAGTCGAACTTTTGGCCTGATATCACCATGTCCACTGAACCATATCACAAAGTGCCATGTCTACTTGGGTTTTGAGCACTTGCAGAGATGGTGATTCCACCACTACCCTGAACAACCTGTTCCAATGCTTGACCTGAACCTCCCCTGAAGCGACTTGAGGCTGTTTCCTCATTCCATCACAGTTTACCTGGGAGAACAGTGACTACCACCTCACCACAACCCCCTGGCAGGAGTTGCAGAGAGCAGAAGGTTCCCCTGAGCCTACTTCTCTCCAGGCTGAGCCCTCACAGCTCCCTCAGCTGTTTCTGCTGCTCCAGCCCCTTCTCAGCTCTGTTCCCTGCCCTGGACACCTCCAGTCCCTCCATGTCTCTCTGGTCCTGAGGGCCCAGAGCTGCCCCAGGACTGGAGGTGGCTCAGCAGTGCCAGCACAGGGACAGTCCATGCCCTGGGGCTGCTCCAAGCCAGGGGCCATTGGCCTTCTTGGCCACCTGGGCATACCTGGGCTCATTCCAGCTGCTGTCACCTCCTCCATGCAGCTCTCTTTGGGGTGTTTGGGCTCCAAACCTTTTGCTCACTCTTCCTTGTTCTTGGCTGTCCCAGGCTGAGACCATGTGGGCCATCATAGCAGTCATGGTGCTCTTCTCTGATGGTGTCAGAGACATCCAGAGGCTGATGGAGTGTCTACAGAGGCCTTGCTCAACCCTCTCTGTCGTGGAAGTGGCTGAGGTGCTTTACTGCATAGCAACACTGCTGTATGCCATGAGGGACAGGAGCATCCCCATCACTAACAGGTAAGGACCATCCAGTCCACACCATGGGCAGGGACACCTCCCACACCAGTCCAGGTTGCTCCAAGCCCCATCCAACCTGGCCTGGAACACTCCCAGGGATGGAGCAGCCACAGCTGCTCTGGACAATCTGTGCCAGTGCCTCAGCACCTCCCAGCCAGGAATTCCTTCCCAATATCCCATCTAGTCAGTTTGAAGCCATTCCCTGTGTCCTGTCCCTCCATCCCTTGTCCCAAGTCCCTCTGCAGCTCTCCTGGAGCCCCCTGAGGTACAGGAAGGGGCTCTGAGGTCTCCCTGGAGCTTTTCTTCTCCAGGTGGACACCCCCAGCTCTCCCAGCCTGGCTCCATGGCAGTGCTGCTCCAGCCCTTGGAGCATCTCCGTGGCCTCCATACTTGTTCTATCACTCCATGTCCTTTCAGGAATTAATATTCAAGATAAACAGGTTTCTTCTCAGAAATAAAACCAGATTTAAATGCATCTCTAGAAACCTTCTGCCTAGAAATAAACACACATCAGCTACAACAACTTCATGTGGTTATTACCTCCTTGAAACCAGTTATTTACCTCACGCCAAGTCCTGTTGGCTCCTTCTGCATGTGCCTAGTGATCCATCTTGTGCCTGGTAGTGCAGGGAAGAGCCCACAGGTTGCTCCAGAATTGCAGTGAGAGTGAGATAAGGGTTAGGGACACAGGGAAATTCTTCTTAGGAGAAGACTGGAAAGGAACTGCACTGGAAAATTTAATCTATAGTGAGAAATGAGATGGTTCTGAAAGCTGCTCTGGGGGAGGAGGTTTCATCTTTTGTGTACTCACCCATGGGCCATATGCTCATGCCCAGGGAAGTCAGGATGCTTCCTTGGCCTTTTAGTGATTGCTAATTGCTGGATAAAGTTATTAACTTGACTAAAGACTTGCAGAAGATGTGGCAGACAGGATGACACTTGCTAGCAATGACTCCTTGTGGCCAAAGTCACTCATGTCCCACCTCCATCAACAATCCAGGCCAGTAGAGACAGGAATGACCACATCTCTGCTGCCATTATCTCTTCAAACCCTACAAGGTTTGTAATTGAGGGAATAAGGAGGAAAAACATGTCCTGGAGGAACTGTTTGATCCCTGTTTGCAGCTCCTGCAGCAAGTAGTGAGTCAGAGACTTGAAACTTGTCCTGGAGTGTGTCCCTGGGTGGCTGCTCTTAGGTCACAGGACCAGAACTGCACTCAGAGGTGAAACCACAGAGGTAAAACCCTGATGGAGGACTGAGGTTAATTTTAAACCAGCTGTTGCCACCAGAATTCAAGCCACAGATACAGTGGGCAGGAACAAAGCACCAAGAAACCTTGTCAGAGCTAAAATACTTGTATCAAACTGTTAGCATAGAAAACACATAATCACGGAATGATTATATGGGTGCTTTTATTGAAGAGCTCTGGGAGTCGGGGTACAGACCCAAATCTGACTCCGACATGGTTCTGAGATGGATACATTTTATACTCTTCTCTTACATAACCATGGTATAGTCATATGTTAATCATTACTTTGCCATTGTTCTACTTATTTCATCCAAGTATGATTCGAGTTCCCTTTCATCCTTGTTATGCTTCACCCAAGCATGAGTTTCAGTCCCCCTTCCATCATTGTTGTATTTCACCCGAGCATGAGTTCGAACCCCCTTTTCCATGATGGTGGTATAATTATCTGTTATTTAGGGGGTACGTACAGGTAGGTACCCAGGTGTACGTGTACAGGTACACATCGACCTGCTAAGATAATAATCACTCTTCTTACTAATGCTTATTCTAGCGACCTTGCCACTAAGGCCTACTTTAACTCCCATGATTTTAGAAACATTTTATCCCATGTTATCAAAACCATTATAAGGACACAAACTGGGTCACTTTAGAAGCCTAAACCAGCCCCAAATCCTCTCTCAGTCCCCTCACCCCCAGGCTCTTTTCTAACAGTGGTCCAGAGGATCTAGAAGATCCTTTGGACTCTGCTCCCAGGTCATGTTTGCAGAGCCTGAAACACCTGGCAGGAGTGAGGGAGAGGCCACACAGTGCTGTCCCCATGGTGCCTTTGCAGCCACTTTTCCAGGCAGAATTCATTCCACTTCCCAATATTCCTGTTGCCTCCTGCATCTCCCTCAGAGCTTGAGGCTTTGTGCCTCTTTCTGCTGGAAGAAATCAACCTATTGGTGGTGTTTGAGGTGGCTGCAGAGTTTAATTTGTTCCTGGTAATCTCTCAGGGATGGTTTCTGCTTTATCCTTTCCACCAGGATCCATTACAATATCTTCTACTGCTTGTACCTGATGGAAAATGCTGCTTCTGCTTCTGGGACTGTGCAGGCAGTGGAAGAGGATGGACTAGTGTCACGCTGCAGGGAGGACCTCTGGGACAGGTAATGCTGCTCCAGGTGATCCAAGCAGGGCACAAGGCCCTGATGGAATGCTGGACTGGGAGGGGAGCAAATGTTTGACATCAGCAAGTGGTTGGCAAGACTTGTAAGATCCCTAAAGATCAGCACAAAAACTTATTGTGCTCCTTGTCACCTGCTCCAGGGATTGTCAGAGGAAAACTAGAGTCAAGCACTGACTGAACTGAAAGTCGCTGTTGGATCTGTCTTAGAATCAGGGAATGGTTTGGGTTGGAAAGGACTGTAAGGGTCTACTCGTTCCACACCCTGCCAGGGACACTTCCCACCAGCCCAGGTGGCTCTAAGCCCCATCCAACCTGGCCTGGAACACTCCCAGGGATGGAGCAGCCACAGCTGCTCTGGGCAACCTGTGCCAGTGTCTCAGCACCTCCCAGCCAGGAATTCCTTCCCAATATCCCACATAAATCTCCACTTTCCCAATGTAAAGCCATTTCCCCTTGTCCTGTCCCCCCAGGCCTTGTCCCAAGTCCCTCTGCAGATCTCTTGGAGCCCTTGAGGCACTGGAAGGGGTTTTAGGATCTCCCTGGAGCTTCTCTTCTTCAGGTGAACACCCCCAGCTCTCCCAGCCTGGCTCCATGGCAGAGCTGCACCAGCCCTTGGATCAGGTGTCAGTGGAACACAATTCCATGTGCTGCAGTGTGGCCACTGACATTTCACAGAGCCCAGAAAACCCTCCCAAATCCCACTCTCCCTCTGGATGAGGAGCTCTGCAAGCAGCCCAGAGTTCCTGCTTCCAATTTAGCATCGTATTCCTTTAGAAGCACAATTTCCTGCTGGTGGCATGGGATCAATCAGTCATTGTTTCCCTTCTGTTCCTCGCTGTGTTTGTGTGGGAGGATTTATTTACTTCATTCCTGCATTCCTTGTATCTTTTTTTTTTCCCCTGCTTTTTAACAGCTGCTCTGAAGTAAAACTCACCCATGAGCAGCAAAGGATTCTCAGTCACAGGATTGAGCCTGGCCAGGTGGTAAAAATTATGGCATTTGCAGGTAAGAGCCCAAAATTATGTTGGTGGAATGAACAGACAAACTCTGATCTCCTCCTTCCCTCCCTCCTGCTTCTCTCCAAGGCATAGTGCCAGGGGGGATCAACCTTGAGCCTCTGGGTGAACAGATTTAAGGAAAAATCCTCCTCAAAAACTAGGGAAGGAACAAAAAGAGTGGAGAGAGGAGTGAGAATGTGTGAGAGGAACAGTTCTGCACGCCCTGAGGGCAGGGAAGGAGGAAGAGGAGGTGCTTCAGGTGCTGGAGCAGAGATTCATGGTGGGACAGGCTGAGCCCTGCAGCCCATGGAGGTCCATGGGGAGCAGAGTCCTTCATGGAAAGGGTTGTCCAGCCCTAACACAGGGTTGGAGTCACCGTCCCTGGAGGGATTTACCAGCCACGTGGATGTGGCACTTAGAGACATGGTCAGTGGTGGCCTTGGCAGTGCTGGGAATGATTGATCTTGATGATCTTAAAGGTCTTTTCCAACCTCAGTGATCCTGTGGAGTGTGTGGATTCATCCATTCCTGCCTGGATGCTTTATTGTCTTCCTTCTCTTCTCCAGGGACAGGAAAGACCTCAACATTGGTCAAGTATGCAGAGAAGTTCTCTGACCTGAATTTCCTCTACGTGACCTTTAACAAAGCTGTCGCAGAGAGGGGGAAAAGAGTCTTCCCCTGCAACGTCACGTGCAAGACTTTCCACTCCTTGGCATTTGGAAGTGTTGGCAAACAGTGAGTATGGATCTGGGATTCCTTCACTGGAGGCTGGTGGAGAAGGGAACAGACATGACAGGAAAGTGGGTTTGAAGGGAATCTCCAGGAGCTGAGACATTATTTCTTTCAGGCTGTGATTTATAGGTTCCAAATCCACTTACATTGGATGCTCCAGGGATTTTAGCATCCATGGAAGCCTGCGGAAATAGTCCTTGTGCTGCTCTGGCATAGACTGTGCTGCCAGAAACTCCTTGGCTGGTTTGGGGACACTTCATAGCCAAGGAGCTCTGCAGAGGGAGATGGAGAAGCACTGGGAATGGCTTTTCCCCACTTCCCATTGGGATTCCAGTAGTACAACTACTCTGAGTGCTGGTTTTCTTTAGGAGAGCAGCAATTTCCTTAACCTGAGTCACACCAGTGACACAGTTTTGGACCAATTCTGCCAGATCCAAACTGCAAAGAGAAGGGGCAATGAGCCATGAGCTGGAAGAAGAGGAGAATCCCATTCCCTGGCTCTGGAACTGCAATTACAGGGCTGAATGCTGAGGATATCTCTCCTAGCTTGACTTTCCATCCCTAAAAGGAACGAGTTTGTGCTTCCACCAGGACAAACGTGCAGATGTGAAAGCTATTCCATCCCTGGGTGTATCAAACAGAGATTTCCAAGTGTTAGTGCCCAACAGGTTTTCCCTGTGGCTTTCAACATTTCTCTCTTCTCTTTTGTCTTCCCTGCACAGCTACAAAGAGAAAGGGAAGCTGAACTTCTCCAAGATGTCAGTGTTCTCCATCAGTTTCCTCCTCCGCAACCGTGAGGGACAGTCCCTGTTTGTCAGAGGAAAAACTGTCTCCCAGACCCTGGAGAACTTCTTTGCCTCTTCAGATGAGGAGATCTGTGAGGAGCACACACCTGTGTGGTTCAAAAACACCCATGGAGTGAGGACCCTTGTCAGTCAAAGAGAAAAGCAGGTATCTGGGATCAAGCGAGACTTGGGCTGGAAGGTTTAGAAGGGCTTGGAATTATGGAGTTATGGAATAGCTTCCCACTGGCAGGGGACAGGGACAGATGAGATACTGGGAAGGAATTCCTGGCTGGGAGGTGCTGAGACACTGGCACAGGTTGCCCAGAGCAGCTGTGGCTGCTCCATCCCTGGGAGTGTTCCAGGCCAGGTTGGATGGGGCTTGGAGCCACCTGGGCTGGTGGGAGGTGCCCATGCCCATGGCAGGGGGTTAGAATGGGTTGATCTTTAATGTCCCTTCTGACCCAAAGCATTTCATAATTCTATGATCTCCCACTTGATAGGCAGAGAAAAGCCCAAAAGGCTTCAAAGAAGCATCTCAAGAGCTCATGTGTTTGACCTGTTCATCTACTCAGAGCAACCTATTCAAACCTTTGTGTTTCCTCTTTCTAGATCAATGTGGAAGAGGCCAAAGACATCTGGTACAACATGAAGAAACTGGATGGAGATGTAGAGAAGAGATACAAGATGACTTGTGATGGTGAGTGAGGTGTCTAAAGCCTTCAGATAAAGAGCTGGGGTAGTAAACTAAATAGATTCATGTTTCCTCCTCCTCTCTGAGCATCAGAAAGGATAAACCCCTTTTCTCCTGCCACTGGCTCACCAGGGAGCTCCAAACAGCATGTCCTTTCCTCCTGTGTCTTGGCCTGTATGCAGATAGTGCCAGAGATGCTGGGGAAAACTTTCTCCTTGTCATTGTTTGGCTGCATTAAGAGTTTGGGAGTCACCAGCACAGCTTCCTTCCTCCAGGGCGCTCAGGTTGGTTTGGGATTGCTGAGGGACACAGAGCTACATCTAGGAGCACTTGAAGTTTGTGCAGCCCCTCCAGGTGTCATGCACATCTCAAGCGAGAATCACTGACTCAGTCAGGTTGGAAGGGACCACAGTGGGTTGTCGGGGCCAACCTCCCTGCTCAAGCAGGGCCAGCCCAGAGCATTAGTTTCTACCACTGAGCAGAGTCTGATCATCCTCTTGGCACCTCCTTCAGATCCATAGAGACATTGCTGAGGTCCCTCTGAATCATCTCTTCTCGAGGCTGAACAGCCCCAACTCCCTCAGCCTTTCCTCATCCCTGAGGTGCTCCAGCCCCCTCAGCATCTTCCTTGCCCTCCCCTGGACATGCTGCAGGAGCTCCATGTCCCTCTGGTCCTGAGGATCCCAAACCTGGACACAACACTCCAGGTGTGACCTCACCAGGGCTGAGCAGAGGGACAGGATCACCTCCCTGACCTGCTGGCAATGCTCTTCCCAATGCATGCCAGGATTCCATTGGCCTCTTAGCCACAAGTCACACTGTGACTCATGGACAGCTTGTTGTCCACCAGGACCCTCCCAGCTCCTTCTCTACAGAGCTGCTCTCCAGCAGGTCACTCCCAACCTGTCCTGGTGCCTGGGATTATTCCTCCCCAGAAGCAGGACCTGCATCTTGTCCTTGTTAGATTTCAGGTGATTCTTCTCCACCTCTCCAACCTGTTGAGGTCCCTCTGAAGGTCAGCACAGCCCTCTGAGGTATCTCCAACTCCTCCCAGTGTTGTATCATCAGGAGTTTGTGGAGGAGGCAACTCTGTCCCCTTGTCCAAGTCCCTGATGGAGAAGTTGGACCAAACTGGGCCCACTATAGAACACTGGAGGACACCACTAGTGACAAGTCTCCAACTAGACTCTGTGTCACTGATCACAACCCTCTGGGATGTGTCCCTCAGCCAGTTCTTTATCCACTTCACTGTTCACTCGTCCAACCTACACTTCGTGAGTAGCAGGGCCAGAAACAGGAAAGAAAAAGGCAAATAAAAGGGAGGAAAAAAGGGGAGAAAAAAGGGAGAAAATGTACTTGATTTAAAGAACTTGGTGGTTCATGGTGGTTTCTCATGGTGCCTTGTTCTTTCCCTCAGGGTATTTGAAGCTGTGGCAGCTCAGCAAGCCTCAGCTCTCAGGCTATGATGCCATTTTTGTGGATGAAGCCCAGGACTGCACTCCAGGTGAGACAGCTCCAGCCTTCCCAGGCACTTCCAGAGAGGCCCTTGGTGTGCTCAGAGCTGTGGGAGAAGCAGCACAGCTAAACAAGCTCTGCCCCTCAGCTGTGAGTTGATAGCTGAGCCTTTCCTTGGTCAGCCTTGGGGGATGAGCAGGTTCCTCCTTAACACTTCAATGTTTTCCTGCAGCCATTGTGGATATTGTGCTGTCCCAGAGATGTGGAGTCATCCTGGTGGGAGATCCTCACCAGCAGATCTACACCTTCAGAGGTGCTGTCAATACCCTCTACTCAGTGCCTCACACCCATGTCTACTACCTGACCCAGGTAAGAGGATGGTCTGCTGCTCTCCTTACATGGGGAGATCCCTAATCCAGTGGGAAATGTCTCACAGCCTTTTTCAGAGAGTTGTCCAGAAGGTGGGTGGGAAATGTGTGGTTACATATATGTTGATACCTTCACAGGTTCTAACAAGTTCCTCTTCTTTTCTTGCTGTTTCCTTTCTTTGTCCACCTAGAGTTTCAGATTTGGGCCTGAAATAGCTTATGTTGGAGCAACCATCCTGGATGTGTGCAAAGGGATCAGGAATAGGACATTAGTGGGTGGAAACCAACAGGGTAAGTTGTGGTGGTGAATCTCTCAGTGGCTTTGGAGTCACAGAGCTATTCCCTAATCACCCAAGTGTCTCAGGACATAGATCAGGAGTAATTAACCCTGGTATATGGAGATGTTTGGGTTGAAATCCCTGCCCTGGCTAACTAGGAACCTCTTCCTGCAGGTGATGTGAGAGGCAGCATGAAAGGGAAGATAACAATCCTGTCAAGAAGCAACTTCAGTGTGTTTGAGGACGCTGTGAGACTCACTGGGAGAGAGAGACCCATCAAGATCCACGTGATTGGGGTAAGGCAAGTGGCCAGTGTGGCTCTCAAGTGCCCAAACCTGTACCTGTCAGAACTCAGAGATCAACACCTCCATGGGACTTGAAATAGGTGTGACTGAGCTGCTGGATGTGGTAGAACTCAATATTCCAGGAGAAAGCAACAAGGTGTTATGGCTGAGGGAAATGATTTGGAGCAGATTCTCAAACCTGTGCAGGCAAAGGTTCATTTTTAGGCTTATTTGTCCTTTTTACCTCAGGTTCAGATGGGATGGGGTAGGGGAAGAGGGGAGAGATGGCTTGAAACAAGCCACTGCAGGTATTGGGAGTGATGCTGGAGTTGGAGATAGCTCAAAGGGCTGTGCTGCCCTTCAGAGGTTGGAGAGGTTGAGAATAACCACCTGAAATCCAACAAGGGCAAGTGCAGGTCCTGTACCTGAGGAGGTTTGAGCCTGAATTTCAGGCTGATATTTCAACTCAATCCTTTTTTCCATCCCATTCAAAGTGTCTTTGAAGTGACTTCCCAGGCCCAAAAATCTCATCTCCTTTTGTACTTTGGAATAAACTTAATTCCTCCTGACACTTCCTTTGATGGAACAAACCAAACTGAATTAGAAACAAAGGGGAAAAAAAACACTTTCTGAAAGGAAAAGTGGCCAAACCAAACCCATTTTGAGTTGGTTGACATTGGAATTTACAGTCGGTTTAGCAAGTTTATCTCCCCTGGGCCCTGACAGCTTTATCAGGAAACTTCCCCAACAGTTTTCCTCCTGTATATGAAGATAAATTGTTTGTTTCAGGGGCTGAGTCGCTTTGGCCTGAGCAGAATTCATGATATCTGGAAGCTGAGTCAACCTGCAGATCAAAGGAGAAGATGTGAGTATGTCCTTTGGGTGTTTTTTGCTTGGCTTTGGCTAAACCATCCCTTGGTGGAGGTTTAGTTTTTATTTCCTCATGAATTTCTCTGTTGAAAAAGGATTTTGTTAGTGGCAATGTCGTGGGCTTTGCTGTTTTGGCAGCTTCAAGCTGGTGGAATACCACAAATGCCATGATTTTGGGGCTTCCCATGCAGCCTTCTCCAGTTTTCCACTGTTCCTGGGATTGCCATGGCCCAGGTGTAGGACCTTGCACTTCATTTTGTTGAACTCCATGAGGTTTGCATTGACCTCTCCAGCCTGTCAGTGTCCCTCTGGATGTCCCATCCCTTCCCTCCAGCTGTGACTGCCCCACACACTTGGTGTGGTCAGAGAACTTGCAGAGGGTGCACTCAATCCACTGTCCATGTCACTGATAAAGATGTTGAGCAGTGTCAGCCCCACCACTGAGCCCTGAGGGACACCACTCCTCACTGACCTCCATGTGGACACTGAGCCACTGACCACAGCTCTGTGTGTGACCATCCAGCCAGTTCTTTATCCACTGAGTGCTCCACCCCTCAAATCCATGGCTCTCCAGCTCAGAGCCCAGGATGTCCTGTGGGACAGTGTCACAGACCTTGCATGACTCCAGGTAGATTATATCAGTTGCTCTGCCCCTGTCTACTAAAGCCATGTTGGTTATGATCAATCACCTCCTTGCTCTCCATGTGCCCAAGCAGAGCTTCCAGGGGAATCTGCTCCATGATCTTGCCAGGCACAGAGGTGTGTTGTTACCCTGAGTGTAAGAGCCCAAGAAACACAGAGATTTGGAATGTTTTCCCCCTCTGTGTTTTCTGTTTTTAGTTCAGTTTTCATTTGTCTTAGGCTTTTCCTGGTTTCTTTGGGGTTGAAACCTGCTGCCTTTTCCCTGCTGGATATGGTTGTTTAGGGGAGAAATGATTCCCTGCCAAACCTCTTGGCAAAAGTAAACAAAGGAGTCGCTGATCTGCCACGGGATTGATGATGTGAGTGTTGTAACTTGCTCTTTGGAAGGTATCTACTAGCAAAATTCCTAGGCATGTGGAGAACAAGAGAGGAATGCAGGCTGACATGCAGGATGGAAAGGCTCTGGGGCTGTCTCTGCCCTGAGCATGTGCTCTAGCTGCTCTGAAGTCACCTTAGAGCCTTCGATCCACGCTAAATAATGCCTTTGTAGATATGTATTGGTCCCATTAACTCATGGCACTCATGTTCCTTCCAGCCAACCTGGTGATCAATGACTCCTTCATCCAAAAATGGGAAGACACTCATGGTTTCTTAGGCCTAAAGGAATATGCAGAGCACATTGATGACAAAGAACTGGAGGTGAAGATTGCCATAGTGGAGAAATACAAGGAGCAGATTCCTGAGCTGGTGAGGAGGATTGAGAACAGCCACGTGCCAAGGGAGGACATGGCAGGTAAAACCAAGCCTGGGAGTGTTCCAGGCCAGGTTGGGTGGGGCTTGGAGCAACCTGGGCTGGTGGGAGGTGTCCCTGCCCATGGCAGGGGTGGCAGTGGATGATCTTTAAGATCCTGTGGTTATGATTCTATGAACATTTCCTAGAGCAGGAAAACCCTAGGACTTATATTCCTTCTTGGAGTTCCTGTTGGAGTTGCCCTGCAACTTTATGATTGAAATTTGGTGAGGGAACAAAGCAACCAAGTAGAAAGTTCTTCAGATAAAGAACATTACTGTCAGGGAGTTGGGAATGGAGCTCAGGCCGCCAGGCAGGCATCTTCCTTGGCAGGGAAAGTTGCCTTCAGCCACCAGAGGAGCTCTGGGGAGAAGTGAAATGAATGCAGAATGAAATGATATTAAGAACACCTTTACTGCTACCACAACTGATCCTTTTCCCTTCTTATTGCCATCTGTGCTGCTTCTAGATTACCTCATAGGCACTGTCCATCAAGCCAAAGGTCTGGAGTTCGACACTGTGCTGGTTGCAGATGATTTTGTCAAGGTCCCAAGTCTCACTGCTGCTTCCCAGAGAAGACCTGTCTTTGCCATTGGTAAGGGAACAGCTCTGGGTGGGACCCAAACTGGGCTGAAAGGGGGAAAGTGGAGTGTGCTGAGGTGTCCAGGGGTGGGAATGGAGGTAGGGAAGGGCTGGAGAACTTCTGAGGGAGCTGCAGGGGCTCAGTGTGGAGAAAAGGAAGCTCAGGGGAACCTTCTACTCTTTGCAACTCTTGCCAGGAGGTGCATCCAGGTGGGGTCAGGCTCTGCTCCCAGGGAACAAGGGACAGGACAAGGGGAAACACCTCAAGCTGTGCTAGGGGAGGTTCAGGTTGGATATTGGGGCAATCCCTCCTGGAAAGAGCTGTGCAGCCCTGGCACAGGGCAGGGATGGAGACATATCCCTGGAGGGATCTAACCAGCCACGTGGATGTGGTACTTGAGGACATGGTCAGTGGTGTGACCTTGGCAGTGCTGGGAATAGTAGGACTTGCTGGTCTTAGAGGCCTTTTCCAACTTGTATGATTTCATGGATGTTCCTGCAGTCAGCTGGTAGCAAGAGAGAAAGAGCAACTCCATCTGGGAAAGCCTTTCCTCCTATTCTGAAGGAGTGATCTCTTCCCAGGGAGCAGAGAGGATCCTGCAGGAAGCATCTAGGGACTGAGAGGCTCCTTCAGGGCCAAGTCTGTGCTCAGCAGGTGGGAAAACACAGAGCTGTGAGCACCTTCTCCAGGCATGTAGTGTCCTGCCTCTGCCTGGAGGGAGGAAGAGGGAGTGAGCAGGAGCTATTGATGGTGCCAGGAACAGCAAACACAGGAACATGCTGCTCTGCTGTCCCAGAGGAACACCCATGGCCCTCCAGAAACACATTCAGGGACTGGTTTTGGTTGGAAGAAACATTCAAACCCATCTAGTTCCACCCCCTGCCATGGGCAGGGTCAACTTCCACTAGACCAGGTTGTTCAAAGCCACCTCCAATCTGACCTTGAACACTTCCAGGTTTGGGACATCCACAGCTTCTCTGGGCATCCTTTTCCAGTGCTGCATCACCCCCACAGTAAAGAATTTCTTCCTTATATCTAATCTGAACCTACCCTCTTTCAGTTTAAAGCCATTTGCCCTTGTCCTACCAGTACATGCCCTTGTCAAAAGTCTCTTTCCAAAT